GAATAACCTGTTCCAAAGCCTAAAGTTAATACATTCTTTTTATAAATGGTCAAGAAATTATAATGTACACCAAGAGAGTGGAGTGAGTGTATTTTTCTCTGCTTTGGAGTGCTGTGCAATTCGATGGCAGCTTCTGATGGTGGCTTTCCAATGATTATTTAATACTTGGGCCCAAAGCCTATAAAACTGACATTGTTCCTATCAAAGGGTGCATTTTAAAAAATTATTTCTCCCGCAGTACACTTACGTGCTTTGTCTGCTTCTCTTTCTCCAAAGTAAAAAACATAAAGGTCTTTTTGTTGTTATTATGGTGTGCAGGGTCTCTCCTTCCAACTTTAAAGTGGAATGATCCAGTTTGTTTGAAGGCAGTTGTAAACGTTAATTCCTAGAAGAATTACCTATAAGCAATGGACTATAATCGTAGTTGCCTAAAGTTTTCCCCCCCTGCAGTTTAGTTGTGCATTCAGAAAGGAAATTCCCACAGGAGAGGTTATCCTTGCTATGAAACCATATCTCTACAAGGACTACACGTTTATGTTCTGATCCTTATTAAGAGTGGTCTCTTACTTACCAAAGGCAAATGTCATACGTATTTCTAATAAAGGTGCATGTATGGTTCCTGAACTGTTTTTATTTAATGTAGATGTCTTAGATAAAGATGAAGCCTTTTGTTTTCAAGATGTACAAGCAGTTATTACTTTAAACCAGTTTCGAGTTTCTGCTTTTGAAAGGTGATACCTTGGAGGGCTTTCATGATCATTAGTCACGTAAATACTTGTTGACAGATATGCCAATTGTTATAATGATTAACATGATTAACTTGGCATGTGCCTAATCAGCAGTGGAAGCGTTTTGAAGTAGTCATGTATCAGAGAGATGGACAGAGAGATTTCTAAACAGGATGTCTGAATGGTAAACAGTCTTTTTAGGGTGTATGTCAAGTACTGCATCCAGTTACTATGCCTGTCCTGTGACGGCACACAGCATACATATATATTTTTGAGATTCTCTCTCTCTTTGTAACATGAAGCCTGCCTATTTCTGCTAATGTAACATTATTAAAGCTGTTTTAATAATAAATCATTACGTTTTCACATGTAATATTTTGCCATTTTGCCAGTTCCCAAATAAAAGTCAAATACACAATGGATTGTTTTATACTACGACAAACAAAGATCTTTATATCCCTTTGGCACAGCATAGGAATGTTTTTTTTTTTCATTTTGAGTGCCTTTTTCAAAAGTACCAGTACATGCATTTGCCAAGCGTCACTGAAGAACATTCACTCCTTCTTTGTAACTTACTGCAGATAAAACTTTAAAAATGAGTTCATTTAAAAACTGTAAAATTGTTTTCATGCGTACTTTGTGATGTATCACGTAAGGTCATACATCTCGATTCTGTGAAAGAAGGGACCTGGATACAGCAGAGGTCTTGTTGAAGTGTCTCTGCTCTGTTTTCCCCTGTCCCCAACTGTGCCTAGGGCTGCTGTTTCTTTTGGTTGCTGATCATTTTTTTTTATCTGATTAGCTGACACATTTAGTAGAAATCAGCCTTAGCCCTTAGGCAGGGCATGGATTTAATTTAAAAAGTATCAAAGGTTTACACTGTGCGCTTTTTAATCATCATGTTTATCAGGCAGAGAAAAATTACAGGAAGGACCACAGGGAGAGGGTTATCTTAAGGACCAGTAGCTTGGGAAATTGATAATAGCTACAAGGTAATTTACTGGCAACTTTTACGTTCATTAATGTAGCATTTCCTCACTTATAATTACAGCACATGTAAAATACTAATTAAGCTGATGGATTTCACTATACTACGTTTATTGTTGAAGTGCAGATCTATTTGTAGGCTGTGTAATTAGTACATCTTATGATTTACTGATTGGAATTTTAAGTGAGAAATTAGTTTTTGATTACTAATATTAAACACTCATAGAATATTTATCAAATTAGATTAAGTTTTATATAAAGAATATGTACAGTACACAGCTTCAGTATAATCTGGTGTTTTAATTACAGTGTAATGTATTATGTATGTAGTGTATATACCATATGTACGTACAGTATGAGGCAGTGTGTACACAAAGGTCTGCCCCTATATTTATAGATTAGCACTTATTAAATTTAAAATCCTATGCCTTGGTTGTCACCTAATAGTAATTTTACAGTCCCTTTCTAATCGATCTTACATTCCATAATTCTTTTAAGTTTAAAATTTGCATCTTTAACATCTGCAGTTAATCTGTTTTAAAAGGCTGTAATGAAAATAATGTCAAGTTGTCAGATAATGTATACAATTAAATATGAAAAAAGGCCGGACTATTAAGTGTTGCTATGACCTTTTACTGACATACGGTTCAGGAGGTAAAAATGGTAATCCTCTAAAGTAGGCAAGGTGTATATTAAGAAGGGTTTGGTTCACATTGGAATTATGACCTCCATCCCAACACTTCACCTGCAGCAAAGTCTAGTATTTGTTTGTGGCTTTTTTATTGGATAAATACAAACAATCTCTGGTAAACAGAAATGGTGATCAAGTGACAGATGTGTGATTTGATAGGTGTCTGAAGTCTCGATGAAATCCTGTTCCTGTTATGATTATTAATAGCTTCGTGATAATATAAGAAGGATAATATATTGGCGATCCGGCAGCACTGAGTGTGGATGAGGGTCTTGGTGGCCCCTGTCAAAGCCTGGGTAATATGGCGGCAATGGGCTCTGGATTGCAAGCTCACTGGGTTGTGTTGTTCTACTGATGCCGCCTGCCTCTCAGACTTAGGGCTCCGCAGGACTAGGCGTGCAAGCTTTAGGAAGCAGGCAAGGGATGTCTGGCCAAGCAGGAAAATGTTGATACGGTTGTTATGTAAACATCCCTGCCACATATCTGATGTAATGGGAAGACAGGCTGTGAGTAACACTTGACAAAGCCTTTTTTTCTCAGACGGGTACTGAGAGTTCCCTGAAACTGGGTGGTCCATTGTGGCTGTTAATTGTAATGAAAACAACATATATACTGTATATGTTTTTTGTTATGTATTTAATGCCAAGCACTAAATAGGTGTCTAGGGTAATTCTGGGTGTGGTCTCTCAGTGTGTTCAGGTAATATCAGACTGTAATGTTTACAGTCATATGAATTTGCACTCTTATCACCTAATATGAGCAGCAAGTGCAGTGGTTTGTAATGCGTCCTTGCAGCTCTGGGTCTTCGAGTTCAATCCCAGACCTGGCGTGCTATTTGCATGGAGTTTGCATGTTTGTGTGGGTTTCCTCCAGGTGCTCTGGTCTCCTCTCACAGTATAAAGACATACTGGTAGGTTAATTGTCTTCTGGGAAAATTAGTCTGGGTGTCTGTCTGTGTGTGTACCCTGCAATGGACCCTCCAGTGTCCCGTTGCGCCTGTTGCTTGCTGGGATAGGCTCCGGCTCTCCTGCAACACTGAATTGGAAAAAGCAGTTAGAAAATGGATGGATGGATCACCAACTATTATATATATTCTTTTAAAATAATACTTACAAGATATTTGTTGCTACAGAGGTGCTGCCGTGTAACATGGAAGTTAGGTTCTATAAGCCAGGGACTGCATTATGCTGTACTGAAGTGAACTTGGCGTTTTTGTTCCTGAAATGATTTCCAGTGCATACTGTAGTACAGATCATACACAGTGAAAGTCATGATTACACTGGTTAAAAGCCCACACTCTCTCTTTCAAATTGAATATTTTTATTAGACATTCATTAACTATACAAAACACAAAATGCAAGGATGTTTATGCATAATTTTGATGGTTCATACTAATTTTGTAATATTAATTTACAGTTTGGTTTTCTTTTTAAAATATTTGTAAGACATGTAGCTTTGTAAGCATTAGATGTTCTAGATTCAATTTAAAGATGTTTAAGTATATAGTCAGAACAACAATAAAACAAACAAGTGTTGTAGGCTTTCTTTTTCTAAGATTTTGAATTTTTATTGCAATTTATAGACACGATCCTTTGTGTTCTCTTAAGCCAACCTTGACATGTGTTAATTGCTTTCTCAGTCAGACTGGAGGCTAGGGAGCCTGGGCTTAATACATTGCATTGTTATTAGTTTTAGAAGATGATGGATGCTTTTTTAATTGCTAGGTTCTCGTGTTTTAGATAGTTAAGCAGGTTAGGATAAGCAAAATAGCATTAAGCCTTGAAAAAGGTGGTTGTTTTAGTACAGAATTTGATGCTCTGTACTAAATATATTCACATATTCAAGTGAAGCACATACGATGCATTATAAACTGTTTACAAATGACTCTGAAAGTTCTTCATGACTTACAGAATCTGTTTCCCGACCCTCAATAACCACCATATGCCTCCTTAAAATGCCACCTCATGCTTACTTTAAAATGGGGTTAATTTCTTCAGTGGTTCTAAAACTTCTCTGCCTGTGCTCACAATATAGTATCAGACAAGGACACCCTGTTGATTTTCCTAGAAAAATCAAGTGAACAGCAAACTACTTCATCCTCCCCCCACACATTCTTACCATGGATTGTCTTTTCATCATTCCCATTATTTAGACTTTGCAAATCTATTGGAAATGTTGCTCAGTTTTGAGTTATATAGCATTATGGGGGGAAAGGAAGCCAAGGGCAGTTTTATAACTACCACATATAATGTTATAACGGATTTCACTCTATGATGGGTTGCTTTGTGATGGAATATCATTGTATATTTACAGGTTTAGAGCAAACATTTTTTGCATTTTCAATATTTTTTTTTTAATGATAATTATTTCATTTTCTGTTTTCATTTTTATTTTAAAAATAATGCGTGGTGACGACAGTGAGGGACGATTCCGATTAGGTAGCCAAAACGTACTTTACAATTCTTATACTTTTGTAAGAATTCCCTTTGAAGGGACACGTTTCTAAAAATGTTCAAAAATGAATAAAAAGAAACTCACCTAGATGTGCTCCAAGGTAATTACAGATTTTGTTTTTGTGTTTATTTTTCCTTCAGGAGAAGGAGGGTGTTGAATCAGTGTCTGTGGGGGCCATTCTTTCAGATTACCAGAGGGTCAGAGTGGAAAACGTGTAAGTTTAATTTCACTTGACCTCTAGCTCTCACACTGAACAGTTCAAATACCTTTGAGGACACACTGCTTCTTTACAATAAGAAACTCTTTTGAGCTGAGCATTCTCCCGTGTTGTGGTGAGCTGTGGAAAGTGGGTTATCTCAGGTGTTAAAAAAAGCAATGAAGTGACAGGGGAGCGAAGCTTTAAGCAGAAGCACCATTGATCAAAAGTATATTTCTGTGTACTTTAGAAAAGTCATTCTCAGCCTTTTCCATACCACCGCACATTTACATAAATGTACAAATTTTACAGCACGCCGCCCCCTTCGCCACACACACTCATACACATCACTGACTCAAGCACACTTTTTTATTATAAACAGAAATTGCTTCAATGTTTAATCTGAGTTTGCTTTCAAGTGCATAGTGACTGTATACTGTGTTTCCACACACCAGTTGAGAAATCCTCCTATTCAAAATCTTGGTATTTTACCAACAGACACCTGTATGAGATTGCAGATGTTCCCACTTTTCAAACAACAGCCAGTGCCTACAGCCTATCTAATTATCTGTGCTGTTTTTGCACGTCACAGATTGTTATGGGGTGTAATTATAATGCTCTTTTCAGCAGTGTCCTTTAATTTCATTTTTTAATCACAAATAAAGGACATGCTTTGAATAGCAGGTGGATTCTGTTTTCTTCTTGCAGTCACCTTAAAGATCGCTCTGTGCAAATGTGACCAGTAGTCAAATGAAAAGAAACAAAATGCCTTGGTGATTTTGATTTGTCACGAGTGATACTTAGTTTATTTTTTTACAGGTGCAGGAGGCTCGGCCTTCAGTCTCTAGCTTACCTTTGGCACCGAAACCAGGAGGATTTGCTCAGAGAAATGATATCATGTAACATCCAGGCCTTGATCATTAAAGTCGCAGCTTTTGGTAGGTATCCAGGCTGCATGAGAGCAGTCCATTTACACTCATATAATCTCAGCCCTTTTGTAAATGAGCAGCTGTCAGAGTGAGGGGAGAAGAAAGCACAAATCATCAATCACCGTTTTGTAAAACTGTTAAGACTTCTGCCAGAGGCTAAGGCAGTTGAGTAGAGAACAATATGAAGAGATAAGGGAGAATCTGGCAGTTGGAAAATGACCACAGATAATTACATTTATACCACATTAATGAAACCTGTCAATAATCGCATACCCCTTATTGTGCTGTGTGAAAAGGTGTAAAGATATATTTTAGACTGCTGCATTCCTTTAAATTCATGAGGCGTGCAGCACAGATTAAAATCTGGTATACCTCATTTAACCTCTTAAACAGCTTAACCCCCCCACCCAAAAAAAAAAATGTTAATGTACTATTACCTGATATCTTTTACAGACCATTCTGATATTGTTGGTAGCAGCGCTGTTAAAATATTAAATATTAAATAGTTAAAAGTTTTAAATAGTGTTATTTGTTTTGGTGCTCTTTAGTTGTCTAACATTACTGCCTGCATCTGAATCATACTGTAGCTCTATCTTTATAACTATTGGAATTATCAATGGGAACTCTTTGAAAATGCTTCTCTTTTTTCAGCTGTTATGATCATGTATCACAATAAAAGGCTCTTACCTTCCATTAAATTTAATGTTTGTTGAGGCCATATATGTTAACAGTGCTCTCAAAGATGTAACAGTCCAGACTGTTCTGTACTTTTTCAGTTTTTATGATAAAGAAGCTGCTTGTCAGGTGCTTTAAGCTACATTGTCTTCAGTTCCCTACAGTGTGTGGCAATTATGTAAGATAGAATCATTTTTTTCAAAGTAGCTGCAAAATCATTTAAACCTATAACCTATGTGCTGGGAAAAGTACATTTTTAATGTTACAGTATTGTAATGGAAGCTGTTTTCTGAAATTAATGTGGAAATTGTGAGATTAATATTTAGTATTTCAAGAAGAAAATGGGTTTCTAACATCATCTTTGGGAGTTCTGTTTTTTCTATAAGTCAGAAGGGAGGGAGTCAGATGTCTGTACATAAACAGCCTTCCTCTGTTAAACAATTGACTTTCATGATCCTACATGTTAAAGAAAAAAGCAATATAAAAGGTATTGTATATATAACAATCTTTAGATTTTTTTTACAGTTTACTTTAATACTGTAGTAGCTTTTTAAATACATTAAAACAATGTAGATTATTATAATATAGATATAAAAATTAGCATAGTTCAACATTAACAGGAGTTTCTAGATAATATTGTAAGACAGCTGCTTACTTTTGGCACTTCTGGTGGGTCTGTTAAAATACCTGGGTTAGCATTTTAGGTGTTTTTACAGGTTGGAAATAGCACTTTTGTCTTACATACAGATAGTGTCTTAACTGAGGAACATTCCTTTCTGCCGACACTGAAGATCGAAGGACCCATCTGCTTTCTCCAAGTGAGAAAAAATGAGTGAAAGAAAAGATTTAATTATCTTGATCTGTTTTTTTTTTGTCTTTGTCTGGGAGACAAAGACTCTTCATTTTTTTACCCAGAAATTTTGCTGTCTTTAAGCAAGCAATGGGAGCTTTACCAAATTATCTAAAATAATCCTTCTAGCGAAACATAGAGCCTTCAAGACAAGTAAAGGATTGACAGTACCACCTAGTTTTTGGTCTTATGCAGTGATTATTTTTTAATGTAGTCATTTTAAAAGAAAATGCTCTGCATTTTTGAAGATTGGAATTAAAAAAAGACTACCTTGGTTTTTGGCTACAGGTAAAAAGGAAGATCTTATCATACTCTGTTTCTCACCTGCCTCAGGCGGCTGTAATTAGATGTGAGATAATTTAATAGTCTGAGTGCTATGGGGCTATTAGGCACCACTCAAATAATTGCAGCTTTTATTAAAACAGGTTTAAGCAATAAAGGCTGTTGTTTAACATATCAGGTGACTGAGGAGTTAGAGTAGAGGTTACCTCTTTAGCCCTCAGGTGGATATTAAAAGTCCCTTCCAGGTAAATGGTAACGAATGCATTTAAAATGACGGATTTTCATAGTCTGATGTGTCGTGGTTTCAGTGTTGCGCTGAACAGATGTTCAGTCTGGAAGCTAGATGGTAATTTGAGTTTAATATTGCTTTATTATGGGTTTAGAAAGACAACTTAAAATTAGAAGTAATTCTATATTAAAAGCACATTAGCAGTCTTTTTGAACTATAAAGAATTGCGTGCTTATTTAAGTTATTATGACCTCAAAAAAAGATTAAAAGATGGAAAAACATTAAAAAAAGAATTGACAATAGAGCACTGTTACAACATTTAAAATGTAAATACTGTTATTAAAATGTGTGCACTGTTTTCCAAAGTGAGTATGTATATTTTTTTCTCTGCTTTACACTAAATGTAGATTTGATTTCTACTTCTGAGCAGGTAACAAAAAATCAGGGGTGATAAGTAAACTTAATGGTAAATATTGCAAAAGAACATCCTTTTGCGCAAAGTATATTTGATGTTTCCAGCAATAAAACATATTTAGGCTTCATTCCAAACAATAGAAAGTGCCTTGTTCAAATTATCTGGAGAGTCAAAACTAGGTGTGATGTCATAATTATATTTATGATAAAGGAAAAGAAATAACAGTTTTCCTGTAACAGCATAGAATTTAGACAGGAGTAAAGTGTGTTATATATGATGAGCATAATTGAAATGTTTAGAAATCATCAGAAATAAAAACAGTATAATATATTATTGTACACTATTAATTCATCACAGTAAAAATAATATACAGTGTATATCCCAATAATGTAGTGGCACTTATAAATCATTTTTAATGACTTATATAGCATTTGTTATTTTGCCTATTTTTAATATTTTGAAATATCCAGGGTGTGTCTTTTTCTCTGTTGTTTTCGCATGCTAGCCTCTGTAGGACAATCAACCTTTTAATCGGAAGACAAAAATATCTACCCAAAAGAGAGTGAACTTTCATTGCCTTCATAAAAGTACAGAGAATTAGCCTTGAGAGCTTCAGCGTAATTTGCTGTTGACATTTGTAGTGCAACAAGTAATAAAACATAGTGCAGGACACAATTAAACCAGCACCGACAAGGTGACAGTGAGTAGAAAACTGCTGCTTTCGGACTGCAGAAGTTAACCTTGACTGTTCAGAATTTCCTTAGCGTTTTTAACATCCTTCGAGTCAAGGTTGTACTTCAAATGCAGATGCATTGCACTTTCCCCTACAGACCCTCAGTGAAATTCGTATGAGTACGTTAATGGTTTTTCTTCAGGAGGCCTACAGTAAGTTGCTCACCCACAATTTAGTGTGTATGCATCAGTAGAATTAATTTATGGCCTTTTGTTCTTTTAAGGATTACATCTGGAAATTTTTCACCCTGGGCACCTTCTGTTAATATTACAGACACGTAGTTTAAATGATATATAATCTGACATCTTTAAATATGTAAGACTTCCTTTTTTTTTGTTGTATTAAAAGTGGTATATTTATTAAGATTTATTTTTATTACCATTATTCCCATTAGAATTTTTGAGGAAAGGCTTTTGTGCCATTTCACAGTGGTAAAGTCCTTGTAGAATTGGGAGATATAGATCTTATAAGGTTATAATTGCACTAATTTGTATTCAATGGAACAAAAAAGATTGGTTTTTGGATGCCAGCGCTTTTGAGTTAATCACTTCTTACACTATACATAGTACTAGAATGAAGATAAGGCCTTTGACCAAATTGACATAAACCTAAACCTAAATCTTATCTTTTCTTGTTACTTTACATCCTTCAAATTTTGTAGTTTTAAAATGTTATTTTTATCAGTGAGGCGTTTTCTGCCTTGCATTATAAGACTAAATTAGTTTGCTTTACAGATGGAAGTATTTATTTCATCCATTTTAAAGCTTAATTGTTACACATCACAAATCTGATTTATTTCCTTTTGTGCAGACAGGGGATTAAAGCTGTCTATCAGATTTTGGACCAGCTGAAAAAAGGACTTGGAAAAGGGTGATTTTTCAGTACTGGGACTGACTGCTGTCATTTAGGTAGAATGTCTGACGTAGCCTTTCCAAACTGGCAGTCCTTTTTGTTTTTGCCATAGTCATTTAAAAATGTCTAATTGACATTTTAGACTGTAGTTTTAAACCATATCCATCATATTCTATCATAACATTATCCACGAAAAAGGTGCACATTAGTTGACATTTGTAAGTCATTTTTATTTTCCATAAAACAATATCTAGGAGGTTATGAAGTGTGAATCATTCTTAGGACTTAACATGAGTATAGTTTTTATTACACTGATTTTTGTACAGTTAATTTTTGGTTAATAGCGTGTTACCTGCTGCTTTCAACTAATTTCCTTTTAGGCTATGATTGTCATTGTCATAATTTCTCAGTGCCAGAAAAATACACAGCATTTTACTTCTAGCTGTCTTGTATACTTGAATTCATAAATTGTTATACACTTCAACATTTTAAAAGCTAACACAGATTGTAAAGACTGCAGCTGCATGTCATGTGTAATTAGCTGTATTCACATTTTTGGTGTTCGACGTTTTGTTTTCGTTAACAAAAAAACAGTGTTAGAAGAAACTGGGACCCCCAAAGAAAAGCAGGGATGTCCAGTGTTCTGGCATGTTCTTCTAATTCTAATCCCACCATGTAATTTGCAAAAAGGGGACCTCAAAACCATTTCTGTACAGTCTGTCTCTTGGTTTTGAAAGTTCACTGAATTTAATTGCTGTTTTATAGGATAATACATGATGGAATCCTTTTAAAGGCAAGTGATTCTTTTTGTTTCATAGACCTGGATTTCCAAAGTGCACAAAAACTGTCTTTTGAGGCAGACAAATGGCTCATTTCAACAGGATTATTTAGGCTTAATGTGGCATAATGAGGTTAGGTAATTGGGTTTAGGGCAGGTTGTAAAACAGGTTTCGAAGAAGCTTGATGTGAAGATCATGTAAATGAGTACAGGGTGAGAGGATCACACCATAAAACTGGTAGTTTAAGAATGTCAGTACTACAATTATTTTCTGACACAAAGTTCTAATTTTGCTCATGTCCCTGTAGACAACAGACTTTAGTTTAAAAGGATATTTAAGAGGAAGGAGCTTTTCTGGGGGAAACAGTTATGTGACATGCAGAACAACATTATCGTAAGAAGAAGACTGTTACTTTATTTTTACATAGTTCTCCATGGAAAATACATTTATGCACACACAATCTACTGTATGTCAATACTAATTAACAATTCTATAGGGCTATTTAACTATGTTTGCTCCAAGTTTTGAGTTAAGGGTAAAGAAAAGGATGAAAACTGTAGTGTGTATTTAATTGCAAAATACTTTCATTATTTCTTTTAAAATGCCATCCAGTACTGCGAAAGTGTTGTTCTACATTTTCTGTGCATTATTACCTTCGTTACTAATTGGTAATCTACAGCTTCTGCCACCACATACTGTATGTATCTACATAAATACACATATGTAGCCAAATGTATCATACTGGCTCAAGTATGTATAAAACCTTATAATTTATTTAAACAAATTACATTTGCAAGCATATTAAGCATCAATGTCCTTATAGCAATTTGAACCAATCATTAAAATTCATTAAAGGCATGATTAATTAAAAAGGACATTACATTGAATTGAATTTTAATGCCTTCTCCTTATTACCTGTGTATTGGGTTAAGATGAAGAGATGTCAAGATTAGATATTCTCACACTAATTAAGCTTCTCCCCTGGGCTGAGGGTTGGGCTTCATCCAGCTTGTGCTCAACTGCACAAACTGCTGCTGCTACAACATTGTAAACTGAACTGAACAGAGCCTTGAATTACTTCTGTTGTATATTTGAAACACAGAAAAACGCACATTTCCCAGAGGATAACCTATGAGACACCAACAAAGAAAAGTAAAACAGGTCTTTTCGCCACTGTACAATGTACATTTCATTTTGAAAAAAAGGGAGTCTTACAAACAACTTGTATAGCACATTACCGATTCTGAAAAGGCACGTTGCACTTGGATGTGCGAAACCAAAATAGCAATTGATGTAATTTTGCTGCAGGTTTTGGCTTTGTCAGTCTTTGATCAGTACACCAGCTCGCCCAGTCATGCTGTTGAGTTGATGCAAAACTGTAATGCATGAGTAAGCACAGGGCTACACAGAGAAGCATTATAGTTTTCTGACTTAAGCTCCGTTGACAGTGTCTTGAAAGAATAGTGCTGAAAATGTTCCTTTGTGAAGAAAGAAAATGAAAAATGGCCAGTTTAATATATATATACTGCATTTGAGTTTCCCCCCCAAAACTAATTATCAAATGGTAAATTATTAATATTGCTGCAAATCCCTTAAAAAAGGCTCTATTGGAACAAAAGACAGATATTGTCTTATAAAAGTCAGTATTGTTGCTGCAACAAACTTTCAACATTGTCCTGTGAAGCTTTATTTAATTTTATTGAACCAGCAAATTTTTAACCTGTTTTTTTTATCTGTGCAGTGTTTTTCTGTGTAAAGTTTTTTTTCTTCAGCCGAAGATATGTCACTGTTTAATGCACTTTGTTCACATTGGCTATGTGGCTTTTTTTAAATTCAGTGTTTATAAACTGCAGCTGCTTTTCACTTGCTCAGGACACTTGAGTTCAAAGTTGATTCCAAACAGTTCTACAGTATATTATAGAATAGAATTAATAATTCTATATAGTGCTGGGTAGTTCCTAGTGGGTCTAATAGGTCTCATTCATTATAAAGTGAAATAAATAGATATTAAGAAAGATTTCAGGAACTGTATAAGATTAAAAAATACATTTGAGTATACGGATCTACATTTAAGAAGTATTTCATGCCTGTTAACACACTAAGCAATTCTGCAAAGATTTAGTTTATTTACAATTATTCTATGACAGAGTTCTAAGGTAAGCAAAGCTGTCTTTTCTACCAAAGGTCGTTCGGGAATTTTCTGGAGATTTGGCAAGACTGGAGGCATTCTGTTGAGACCTTAGTCAGAGCTAGGCTGCAGGATTCAGAGCTGAAATTTCATTCCAGCAGCTAGCTGCCATAAACATCTGCAGGCTCTGAGTCATTTCCCTCTACGGTTTAAGGGCAAAGATAAATAAACAAGGTCTTTCCAGTTTATATTCACAAAGAAACAAATCAGGGTTCACTTTTCAGCACAACTGAAAACTGTTAACCTTATAAAAAGAGATTTGTGTATACAATTTATAAAGTCAAATAAATAGATAGGACCTAAAATATCTATGGGAAGGAGGGTGTTTGGTGACAGAAAATCTAAAAATCTGATTTCAGATTTTCTCCAATCAGTGGTTCAGTCTCAGACATTTTCCTCTGTTTTTGTCAGGTCTTGATCCTGATAAACATTTGGGAAAAACACTGGGTGAAATGGAACCACATCTTAAACAGGTTGGTGATACATTTTGGTATTATTCGCTTCCTGTCCACCCTTAATGGAGACAAACATGTGCCTCTTTCTGGAAACTTTACTTGTTTATGAAGCCTTATTAAAGGGGAAATGTAAATCATATAATGTATATTCTATGTCTTTTACAAAATGCCTAAACAGCACAAAACAACACTATACTTCAGTGGAAATTAAACATTAACCTCTACTACAAATTTAGATACTTTATTCGAAATTATTGTTTAACAAACAAGCCAAATAAACTGTATGATCTGGAACACTTTTTTTAAAACGTCTTTGACAGAGGCGTTTGTAGCTTGGATGTATGAACTTTGTTTTATAATAAATTTCTTTTTAAAGCACACTTGATGTGATAAATACTTGGTATAAACCATCCTAGGTTGAATATAATGCCTTAGTGTAAGAGCTTTAGTATTTTTTTTATTTTTGAAGTTGATAACCCGTTCAATTTTGCCTAGTAACAAACTACCCAAAATGTGCACCATAGTATCCTGCTGTATCATGGGTTTTTACCTTTAAAGTTCAGTTGAAAATTCCAAGTTCTCAGCTGTCCCTGCTGTTCATCAGCTTGCTGAAGGCTAACATTGTGATTCAACAGTATCCATTCCTTTCCGTTGTTTTTGAATTAGCTTTCCAAGAAGTATGGTGTTCATGTTTGTGGTGAGGGTGGAGAGTATGAAACATTTACCTTGGACTGCCCTTTGTTTAAGAAAAAAATTGTTATGTAAGTAAACCTCTTATTCTCCACTATAACCTATTTAGTATTATATATTGTAGTAAGAAAATATTTTTAACTAAGCCTGTAAGTCATTTGTGTTACCAATCCATGGTTTTTCATAGTTGTATACATGCTAGATGGGCCACCTTGCCAAGAATCTATGCCTTCTGGCCAAACAAATCTGTGACTACAAAATATACACAAGAATCCATATTGAAATACTGTTTTATTGTAATACACCACAACATCATTTGCCAGCCTGCAGCTGTGATGGTATGCAATCACAAAACATTCGGTGTGAGTCTCACACAATGAGACTGAGTCTAGGTCTGAAAAATCACATATTTGTATCAAGACTAAATTGATATACAAAACTGAAGTCATCACTGTAAAGTTTTGAAATAGCTGTAGAGTCTTACCATTCTGTAAATTATCCAATGTGTCCTTTTGACACTTGTGAAATTTGTGTGAGAGACATCATCTCTAAAGAATAATAAAAGGGTATTAAAAAGTAAAATAATACTAATTTCAAAGCTCTTCTTCAGGCTACATCATGGGTAGCCTACATCTTTGGTGGATTCTGTATAATCAAACTAGTTGTTGTGGTCAAATAATTTCTCAGACCGGTTCTTAAATCTTGGTAAAAAAATAAACTGATTGATGGCATTGCAAAATTTAAGAAATTTACAAATTCTGATCGTTAACAAAATCGTTAACTTTGTGAAATTACTAATTATTTGTTTCATCACAAATCCACTGAGAGTGTGATGCGGCCCTTTCTTCTCACAGGTCACTATAGGGACTGATGTAGTGCGATGTATGAGTGAAATGTTACAGCGTGATCTACAAGTTAACAATTAAGTAGTGTTTGTCGGCAAAACTGTCTCAAAGTCCAGATTAATATTTCTATTGGATTAAAAGAGCTGTATTCACAAGCCTTCTTGTTTACAATGTAAGAAGGCCACATTATGTCACTGAAAGTTTAGTTGCCTCATTCTGAATCGCACAATATGGCAATGCGCATACCTGGAGATTTTGTGTATTTTGTGATGTGAATTGAAGGTTTTACACATTACTGTGCACAATTTACTTTCGTTGTGGTTTGAAACACACTCATTAATGCTGCTTCTTTATAAACCCAAGATATAAATTAGTGCTGCAGTGGGTTACACTTGTCCTAAATATTTTTCTGTGGGAAACCTGCAGGATTTATACATTTAGTGCCAAAACGGTAAAAGTAGAGAAAAGGTTCACCTCTTCCTAAATTAATGTAATTCATTTTTTTTCTCTAGAGATTCAATGGAAGCTGTTGTCCATTCAGCAGATGCTTTTGCACCAGTTGGCTATCTACGGTTTTCAAAAATGCATCTAGAAGACAAAAAGAATGTAAGTAACATTTTGTCCTTTCTGGAAAGTAAATTATGGAGAACTGTTGTGTTTCTGGTATAATGTTTGACTGTGTGATAACAAAAGGGTACTGATTGACCATCATCTATGGTATCTTCTTGTAACTTTGAAAATTAGTCATTTAATTTACTGAACTAGAAATCTAGGTGAAATGTTAGATTTATTTTTCAGTGTTTCTCATTATATTATCTTGTAATAATTTCTATTCTTTTATGAATGTCAAAAAAGATTGAAAGATATTTTAATGACATAGCAAAGAGCAGAAGTTTATTGTGGGGTTTATAGTTAATAAAGATAAATGAAAATGAGCTGCCTTGAATGCATTCATAATGCGTTCATAAAACTAAATTACTAGTTTTAAAATTGGTGAAAACGTTAGAAACCTTTGTGTTTATGTGCCAGATAATGGTTGAGAATTTTCTACTTGTTTAGTGAAAAAGGAACACATAATGAAGCAGATCTGCAGGGGTTTTTTATGTCCTCGGTTGTTCTACTTTGACATCTGCAATATTCACTTGTGCCTCGGACTAAGCCTGATTTAATAAACATGTCTTGTCAAATTAAGGCACTTTGGATTCAGGTAGTCAGGATTGCCTTGGATAACCATGTCACCACACCCTGAATGACACTGTCACTAGAGGAATTAGTGGAAAAGGTTATTCTGGCCCTTCAGATGGAACAAATTCAACTTGAAGGGCTGCTCCAATTGGTCAAAATTATGAAGGAATTTGAAATTTGGTATATGTTTTCTCTGTTGCTTTAGCTGATCGTACAGCTGGGTAGTTGTTATTTTTTTGCTATGCTAAACAACGAATATCATCAGGGGCGTGTTCACAGAGATATAATGCAAACCACAAGAAAGGCTTAAACCTTGTATTTCACCCTAATCTCAATGTCCATCACATATTAAAATGAATAATTAAACCCTAATTGATGTATTGTTGGTTTTATTGTTTTTACAAGCTTTTTGAATGCTTTATAATTATTATTATTATTATTATTATTGGGTACTGTATGTTCATATAGTAAGTCCTCAGTTGTATTGTGGGGTTGTAATCTGCTGAAGCAGCATTCTTGTTGCTCTAATTTGGGAAAACTCAACTCAGCTACTTTTTCCGAATCATCTCATGCTGAAAGAAGGGCATCATCTCTCTTTTTGCTCAATACTGTATCTTAGAAGCACTCATTAATAATGTGTCTCTTGTCCTAGGAGGGGCATATTGTATGTGTGACCTTTATAAAACACTGTGACTAGTACTGTGACCTGTACTAAGTCAAACAGAGGTGTCTTCCCAAAATATAGAAGAAAGATCCTAATTCAGAACATTCGGATTTGCCACAGCTATTGGGGAAAACAATTAGACTGTACGGACACTTAGAACTTAGTACAAACACAGTCCTAAAAGTACATTTAATAAAAAACATAGCTATAAAATTAAAGGAGCAGAAACATAGCTTTGTTACTGTACAGCGAGCCTCTGAAGTGACTGTGAAGCGGTAGCAGCCACTGGCAGGAAGGGGCTGTTGGAGAGTTTAACTGGCAGCTCTGCTCCCTCCAGCAGTGAGTCTGTAGCGAATGGTGATTCCCTCAACTAGGGCAGGAGGCACAAGGGGGAACCTCCCCTTAAAAACAGTCCAAACAGTTTTCTTTCAATCTGATAGATCTGACCTGACAATATAACTTGAGGAAATGGAAAAAAAAGTAGTATAATTTGCCCTCCCTTAATGGTAGTCAAGCTATTTTGTATGTTGCAATGAGGTTCGTGGTATAATTAATGTGATTATCACATGGGCAACTGCAGTTGACAGCACAAGAGAAAAAAAATCAGCACTGGCAAGATTTCGGTTTAGAATGTGAATGTACGGAGAAAAAAGGCAAATGAGCAAAAAAGCGTAGTTCAAGACTATCATTTCAGAACATGTACAGAAAGTGTTGAAGTCTGAAATTGCCGCTGAGGTAATCAGATTCACCGTGTCAGACAACTATGGCCCAGACTTATTTATAACTGATGAATATATAGTGTCTGTTGGTATGATGATCTACATTTAGGCACTTTGCAGTATTTTGCATTGATATAGAAGGGTGGTGACATCAATATGGTAGAAATATTGCATTTTGAAAGCTATTAATATAAATAGACTGGCAATTTTTTAGGGGAATGTCATAGTCTTACGATGCAGTTAAATTATGCTCCAAATGCTCTGTTGTCCTTCAAGCCAAGCTCTGCGGCTTGGTAAATCCATTGAACTATTTTTTCCTTATTGTGTTCCAATTTATTCAGAGTCCATTGCCTGCTTCAGTTCCTTTTGGTGGTTGTCCATGTCTAAGCAATATTGACAACATCACAGACAGTGTGGAAGATGAAGTTCTGGAGCCCCTAGAAAGGATTTCAACAGATACATACAGTAGAGGTCCATTGGACTATGGTAAGAATTTTTCTTAAGAAGTCATGTATCATCATATTTACTTAGAGGGCAGAGCTTAAGTCAGGCTTGGTGTCAAAAGGAATTAAACTCACTAAGACTACAGTATACAGTTTTCCTTACCAATGCAAGTATCTGAAAATAAAATTTGAAATTGTAATTGAAATCACTTACGGGACTTGCCATGAAAATTGTATGTAATTTCATTTGACCACAGTCTTTGGTTAAGTTTGTTAGTCATGCGTTATGTGTTTACCCCTTTACTGTATTTAATGGTTACCCTAGACCGGTGATTTCTAATGCTTTGCACCCACAATTAGAGAGCTGAGTGCCCACAGTGGTCATACAGAAGGAAATGAGGCAGCTGTAGTATAACTATTTTCCATCTCCTTTATAAGCCATACATATTAAATTCGAATTTTGGGATGTTGAAAAAGCTACACACTATCATGTTATTAATGTGTCTTTGGGTGATTAAATTGTTATTTTTTATTGAGGTTTTATATCTGTGTTTACTGTACAGATAACTGCTCTGCGTCATTGTGTAGAGGTAAAAAAAAAATTCCAGTGGTAATAAGTGAGTTTTTGTGAGAAAAAAAAAGGTCTATGTATTGAAAGCAAAATCTAAAGCAAATTACATGACCTACAAGACATAATTATATCTGTAGAAAACTGACACAAATTTGCATTGAGAAATAACAAATATATTCAGGAGTTAGAAAACTAGAACCATTTTTAAGGCTTCTAAGCAAATCCCGACCCACATTGTGATTGAACTACGAGTAAACAAATGGGAAACTAGAAGCAAATTTGGAGTTCCTTGGCCAAGGAATTATTATTATTATTTTTGAATAAGAGCAGGTTGTGCCTAGCAAGCAGTCACCTGCTGTGTGTTTGAAAAGTGTCACAGCTGCTTTGGAGATGCAAACCTGTAACAAGTCCTTGTGTGTTGAAATGTCCCGAATTTCAAATCAATCAGGATAGCAGTTATTGTGGTTCGTGCATGAAACCTGTTAGACTATGTGTTATCTGTAATATTAGTAGAATGATACTTATCATGTGTTGAGTTAAATGGCTACAGGCATGATGCAGCACAAGAGTTATCAGTCTCGGCTAGACGATGGGAGTTAGGCAGCCACCATGGTTTACTTGAGAACCCCGTTTTCACATATTCATTGCCATGGTGCTATAATTATACTTAACATTCGGAGTTAACTGATTAAACTGTTTTTAAGCAGCAACAGTTAACATGATGCACTACATTTAGATAATGGTTTATGACCAATTGCAATTGTAAAAATGAACATACTGTAGCAACTTTTCAGGTGCAGTGGCTTGTAAGCTTTTGAATGAGTTTTCTAATGGATTAGTCTGGCTGCCATCTTTGTTGACGCGGAACACCTATGATTGTTACAGATTTAATCTATTCCAATAAAACTGCTTAGTGTGAGGTTGCTTAGCTGTCCAATCTTTAACGCAAAGCAATTTCAAAAGTTGGAAAAAATGTTTTGAATTTAAGATCACTATAGCCTTTCACTGATTAGAAACCTAATTATTATGTATATGTATTTACAGGACATTTTGAATTAGAAAATTAGAATATAGATATTTCAATTAAAGAAAAATGAGCTTCAAAAGTGGAGATAGCCTTAATTGAGAATAAAGATACTGTGACTTTCACATTAATATTAACAACTGTGTTTCTTTATTTTGAAAGGAGACCTTTGTTCTTGCTCAGGAAGAACTAAGCTTGGCTATCAGTGGATTTGTGGCATTTCTGGTGTTTCAGTTGGCCATGAGGATGCAAGTGTGGAGGATCAAACCAAGAATGCTTTCTTGGTGCTACAAGGTAGGCTGGAAAGAGAGTAGGAGGTAGCAAAGTGGTGACTCCATCTTCAAATGCATTTTAGATATGTCTTCTTTCTCATGAATAATAAAAATCATCTTCCAAACTGTTGCTCTTCATCATTAACACCATGTCACTGCAAAAACTTGTATAATCCACTTTGAGTCTGATCAAATAAGGATTGCAACTTTTACGAGTTCCAGAAAAGACAGCTTTAGATGACTTTTACAACAGTGGAATTGAAAAAAGCTGTTACTTCAAAAGGTTACTTGTAGCCTTTTTTAAAGGTTCAGCACTTATCAGAGCCAATTCTGAATAAGGGAAGCCCCTTTGTTCACAAGTAGCTTTTATGTCTTCTTGTTGTGTTGGCAAAACACATTTTAGAGATCCAGTAGAAGAAAAGGAGTGCTTTGTTTAGGAATGCTCTTTTAAAGTTTGAGGCAATAGCAAACATGTCAGGGACCCTGTCGATCAGAAATGCAGTATTGCGATTGTAAAATGAGGACAAACACTTCAAATTAAGTCTGAGAGAAGTGAAACTGCTTCTTCAAAACACACAGTGCAAGATTCTCTTTTGCCTGCAGAGCTTAAAAAGTGCATGTTTTAGCAGAGACTCTTTTTTAAAAAAAAACAGGGCGAAAGATGAAAAGCATATTTAATGTTTATCATCTCATTTTTGTGATTTTATACAGCCCTTACAGAGACAATGTTAAACATATCAATATTTTATAGTGCCACATTTTGGTAGCTTGTGTGAGGTATAGAAATGGTCTATTGTATCTACTAATATATCTTACTATTTTTGTATCTACAGGGTAAGGCTACTACAGAATTTTATTTGGATACGTTTTTTGGATAAATACCTGTTAACAAGTCACTTTGTTCTTTTTGTCTTTGTTTGAATATTTATATTATTGTAGGTGCAAAAAAAGATTAAAATTAATCATCCTTAGTTTCTGATAAACATAAACGTGATGTTATTGTGACATGTGATGTTAAACATAAATGTTATTTATTAGCACTATGTATGTATGTATGAGAACTGGCTTGGATAGAGGTATATTTAATGATGATTCCATTAGTAAAACAGTTGTTGTTTGTTGTTGTTGCAGGTAAACTGGAAGAGAGAGGATTTCATCTAAAGAATATTGTTTTGGTTCACTTGTATGTGAAGACCATTGCTTACTTCAGTGCAGTTAACACCGTGTACCAGTCCTATTTTGATGTAAATCCTCCTGCCAGGTATGTTGTTTTATGCACAATGTTTACTGATCTGGAAAAACAGAACAGGGTCTAATTTACAATCTCAAAAAACATTCTCAGAAACACCCACCAAGTAAATACATTTGGGAGAAAGACATTCTTCCAATTGCTGTATATAAGGACTTAAGTAATCAATGAACAGGTCATTTTATTTAGCTCATCTTGTTGAATTAGTTGCTAGTAGTTTGCCCATCCACATTTTCTTTTTTCATTCAGTTAATAGCGTGAATGAATTCAATCATGTGTCCATAACAGCAGCCATATCACTCTGCAACTCACAACTGGCAACTCACTGAAGCTAAGCACGTGTGAGCCTGGTCAGTACTTGGATGGGAGACCTCCTGGAAAAAACTAAGGTTGCTGCTGGAAGAGGTGTTAGTGGGGCCAGCAGGGGGCGCTCACCCTCCAGTCCATGTAGGTCCTAATGCCCCAGTATAGTGACGGGGACACTATACTGTAAACAGGCGCCATCCTTTGGATGAGATGTAAAACCGAGGTCCTGACTCTCTGTGGTCATTAAAACATTTTTTTGTGGTTTCACAAAAAGAGAATCCTGACCAAATTTCCCATTGGCCCTTACCAATTATGGCCCCCTTCTATGAATTGGCTACATTACTCTGCTCTCCCCCCCACTGATAGCTGATGTGTGGTGAGCGTTCTGGCGCACTTTGGCTGCCGTCGCATCATCCAGGTGGATACTGCACATTGGTGGTGCCGGTAAAGTGCTTGAGTGGAGTGTCCAGAAAAGCGCTATGAAAGTGTAAGCAGTTACTATTATTATTATAACAACAAATACAGGGTATACCCAATCTGTTATTTTTTTATCATTATTTTCAAACTCCAAGCAAATCAACAAACACAAACTACAAAATGGCTTAACTATTCAAAAAAGCCTCTGCCTAGGATGTTTGAGGTTAATTGGCCAACACCTTATGGCCAGGTTGCGTCACAGGGTCCAGACAGGTGTGGGTATAAAATGTATTGTCACAATATATGCGGTGCATGTCTTAAGCTTGAATGTTGATGAAACCAATTCAACCAGTGCAGTGGTACCCAAGACAGAAGTCAGCCTGTGGGTCAGGCAGCTGTCTTGATTCACACATAAACATCATATTGCAATATTTAAAATGATTGTCACATTAAATCACACCTATCATGTTTGAAATTAATTGGTTAGGCAACCTTTAAACAAGCTGTTTGCGAGGGGGATGCATATGGTGCTCAGGTGGCCACTCGAAATTGTTCAGAAACCTTATTTGTCCAGGTTTGAATTGCATTGCCATTAAAATGCTAACAATTGAGTTTGGATAATTCTTGAACAGGAGCAAAAGCCTTGTTTCAGCCAACTGTTGACCTGGTTTGAGCAAGACAATTACCACAGCAATTTGTGAGGTGCAGCTTTAGCTACAGATAAAATGCGTCTTGTTTCAAATTATTTAGCATTTACCAAAATGGCAGCCTTGCTGCCATCTTGTTTTACTCAGGAATGACTAAATATCAGATGTTAATGGTATGATCTCTACAGTGATAACATGTTAAAGGCTAAATTCCCCAATAGGGTTATGAGCAGTATATGACCACAAAGAATAAAAATGATCGAGAGGTGGCCATCTTGGAATATGAAGGCACCTTATTTTCTCACATATCTATCCTTTTGGTACTAGAATCCTGCTAATTAAGTTTGAAGTTAATTGGCCAAGTAGTTTTTGAACAGTTCCTGAAGCTGTCGTGTACTTCATTTTTCCAACCTATTTTTAACCTTTTTAAGCCTCCAGTTTGTTTTTCAGTTTTAATTATTCGTAGAACGTTGAGTTCTACAGATAAATAGTATCATTAAATATGTGTGTGCTTGCATGTTGTCTGAAACTCAAAGTTGTTTTAAGATTTTAATGAGTTGTCAAAATTACATGCTCTTAATTAGGGGACAGGAGTAACTAGTTTAAAAGAAGTAATTTGTTTAAATTGAGATATACTTTATATATATAGGTAATATAAACACCCAAATCCACTACTTGGATGCCTAAAAAATACCTTCAAATAATAGGAGCTCACAGAAATAGAAAATATTTTAAATTATTATTTAAAATGAGCAGTCGTCAAGGGCTCAGCAACACAGTCACATCCGATATCACATTAATTAAACAAACAGGACACTCCCAAACCATGTTTACATAGATCTCTGATATATATTGAGTGCAGTATATTGACAGAATGTGATCTTCATCTTCAGCTGCTGGTTTGATATTGCATATATTCTATGCAAATATTTAAAACATGTTTAGTTGGTTTGCTCTTTAGAGGAAGTAGGGCATTATCCCATGGCACCACATAGAAACAAAGGGTTGAGCAAGGTGTAGGGTCCATAAAATGTCATCACTTGTATAAATTCTTTGTAGCAGAATATGGCACTGCGCATGGCTGGAAATGTTTTCTGTTTTCTGATGTATATTGGAGGTTTTACACATTACTGTGTACAATTTATTTTCATTGAGGTTTGAAATGCACTTATCAATGCTAATTCTTTCAAATCCCAAAATATGAAAATAGTGGTGCCTTTCCCCTTTAGTAACTTGGGTCACTGGTTATCAGAAAATACAATAGTCTTAGTTGTTAACTCTCATGAACATCCCACCAGAACAGACTCTGGCGATTTAATTGACTCAGTTATATTGATAATGAATAGCCAAAACCAAAGTATTGTAAAACTGCCCATAGGTAATTCCTTTAAATGGGTCATTTAGTGCCTTCGCAGTATCTAAAGACATGTGTACAGTGTACTGTGGTGTTTGGGAACCTGATACAGAACACAGAAGAGGCACTGTACATTATTGGAAGTAAATTGTGCCATCAAGAAGCTTAAGTGTCTGATCTTTGGCCTTCACGCAAATGTTCACATCTGAGTGTAATAGCAATAGCAGCCTATACTTAAAGCAGTCTCAAGCTAAATTAGAACTGATATTTGAACTCTTTGAAACGAGCCAGTGCAAGGAAAGGTCTACTTTTTAGTATAAATGGGTCAACGTGATTGAAGTTCTGCCTTCCAAGCTTGTGAATAGATTTTTGCACTGTACTGTGAGAATGAAATAATAACCAAGGAAGAGCAGCACTGAATCTCTGTAATACCAAGGTGGTGCATGTCATGCTCTGTCCATCTCAAGGATGTGCTGTTTGTCACTATAGTGAAGGATATTAAAGTTTAAGATGCAAGGCCTGACCTCCTGTACAGAACCATTGTACATTCTATGAGACCTCATGATTTCAATGAACTCCAACTCTGATGATGTTGCAACTCTGATTTTGTACTGTGAAGTACTGTGTGTACTGTACTGCTTACTTTTCTCCACCTTCCGAAGGCAAGACTGTATGGTCCCTAGAGTGGTGTACAAGCTTTGACATCAGTAAAGAGACTGTTTTTCAGAGAGTCCCTGAGGCAGTCTCTATGGTAGAACTCTGTGTCACAGGGTTTAGTAGTTTACCTTGTGAATCATCACAGGAAGGTGAGGTTTCTCCAAACGTGGCCTGAGAGGAAAGAATCTACTTCCTGGTTTTATTCTCTTTAGTTTTGGGGAGTCGGTGCTTGGCTCCATAGCTAATGAGATATAATTCTCAGAGGAACTAGGTTATCATTTGTATCTGTGAAAACAACTCTGAGTTATAATTAAAGTTGAATGTTTAATTTGAGTCAAAAGTTGAAATTTAACTTTATTTAATACATTTAAATAGGTAAAGCTTGTCGATTAACCCATTATCGTGCTATGTCATGAGGTTACCCTGGGAACCTACTTCATCATCATGAGTGGACAGAACTTTCCAGCTACCCACATACCTTTGTGTGCCTTGTATTTTCAATCCTGAATACACATAAGAATAAGAATATTCAAAATATAAGGTACAATGAACTCTAAATACAAAGCTTAATTGATGGAGTTTGTTTTATTGGGAAAAACATGTCTACGTGCTCAGAGATTGAAGTAACAGTTGTATTTTGTTTCCATGATCGGTACTGAAGAGTCTGTGTGGAAGTCCCTTTACCTGATGAAGAGTTAATCCAGATTGACTGTCTCCTTCATAATTGTGAAGTACCTGCAGAAGATACAATGTTTCAATGTAAGCAGGTCATGCATATCCAAAGCATTTCACACTGGGCCCCAGCTAATATAGGACCCTACTCTCAGGCAGTGAAGGTAAGAGGATGGTTTTCTATGTTTCTATCTTTAAGATGTGCCTAAGACAGGTTCTCATGTAGAGTAGTATATAGTATATCACTAAAATATATAATGAGTGTTGTACTTGAAATTATACTACAGGAGTCAGAAGGTCCACTTTCAGGAAGATGAAAGGGCTGTAGTGAATTGATGGACATAGCACTAAAAACATAGCAAAGATTGCAAATAAGAGGCCATTTGTCTTGTTCGGTTGCTGGTATCTAATGGATTTGAGGACCTCATCTAGCTGCTTCTTGTAACAAGATTCAATAACGTGGCTGAGTAGCTTGTTCTAGACTCCCACACCCATGTGTAAAAACATACATTTTGTTCTGGGTTTTAAATCCACTTCCTCTTATTTCTGATTCTGGGATTCAGTGCTTTGGTTGCCTTTGAAGATTTTGAATAATTGAATTTGGTGCCCTTGTAGTCCGTTTTGTTCAATACTAAAAATATTCTGTTTGTTTAGTGTGTCAAAGTAGGATGTTCCTTGAAGCCCGAGAATGTCTCTAGGTTCTCTTGCCCTGAACTGGTTACAGAGCAGCCAATATATTTTTCATTACCTGGCAATGAAAATTCAATACAATATTTTAAATGAAGTCATACTAGTGCCTTGTATGATTTAACATTACATCCCTTGATTTACATTCTGCACTTAACTATATATTTTAATGCACCATTTGCCTTTTTGTTGCTGATTTCAATGGTTCTGTCACTCCTGTTTTTCTTACTGTCTCAGTTGTTTGAAAAGTTTAAACTAATTCAGATATTCATTCTTACAGGTGCTCAGTGACACACACAATAAGGAAGCAATTGATAGCTATGTTCACAAGTTCTAACGCTGTGTTATATCCTTTCAGTTATAACTGCTGCCAGACCTGATGTTTTTTCTTAAGCTGTATGAGGAAAACTGTTGTCTCCCTTGACAACACTGCTTCCTTTGTGTGTATGTGTGACTCTATAATATAATTAAATATATTTATTAGAAACTGCAGTGTTTTCAAAACTACCGTTGTAATCAAATTCCCAGTCAGGAGGATATTAATGTCCATCTTAGGGTTGCCAACATTTTCTCTCCAACAGAAAGAGTTTTCCCTGATTTGGTTGTGATATATGAATGTATTCCAACATAGGATACTATGAGTAGTGATTTGTTTTTACAGATCAGTTTTACATTATCCTCTGTATTAACCTCACAAGGGTGTGGCCTCAAGAGTGTATGGTGAGGAATGGAGGGTGTAAATAGTCCAATGGAAGATGCTATACTAAAAGATGGTGTCATGTCTTTTGCATTGTACTTTGCTTTCGCATTTTACTACATGCGGTTATGGTTTTTTTCAGAAAGGGGTTTCTGCATTTACCTTTTATACACTCATCAGTAGTTTTGTGGGTAAAACCCCCAGACATTTTCTGTATGAAAGATTTCTTTTTAATCTCTATTTCTAATGAAAACAAAGTTACGTAACACATCTCAGAAAAGTAAAAATATATCTTTGTATGCAGTTTTAGAGCTATTTAATAGAGAGGATTATTAAACTACACAAGGTACCGTCATCAGTTCAGGTGTCATCCTTATCTTTTTCTCCTGGGTTTGCTGCAAAGTTTAAGAACTCTAAAATGCTCATTAGATTGCAACTGCAATTTTATAATCTACCTATTCTGAGGTATAAGGTTATTATCATTCATATGTTGCACTGCTTAAAATGTTTGTCAGCTTATTAAAGCCATGTAAACTTTATGAATATAAAAGTGAAATGTGAAATGAAAAAGATTTGTGGGTGACCTGATTTTTTTTTTTAATAATGGATTACTCAAGTATCCAAGCATCCTATATATTTAGCCCTGGTTATGAAGTTTATAAAAATCCACATATGTATTAAGGACTGTTTTTAATTACAGTTACTTTATTTGACTTGTTTTTAAGAATCCTTAGGATTTGTTTCTGAGCTCTTGGCACAATGTCAGTTTGTTTGATAACTTTTTCTTATTTCTAGAAAGGTCATCTTAGAAATGCTTCATTTTTGAAGAAACATTTCTTCAAGGGTAAGAAAAACCATTTTAGCACCAATTTGTGCTAATTTAAGAGAAAGTGTTTTTTTTTGTTAGATACTATTTATTACTGCATAAAGCACTATTTGTTTAATTGCTGGAAATGTAAGCAATATGGGCTGCATGGCATCCCCTCTTTGTTGAAAAAACATTTTCTTGCAAATCATTGTATCATTGAGATGTTTTTTAATGAATAACTATGAATTCATAGTTCTTATTGCGTTTGATTACATCATGTTTCAGCAGTCCATGAGTTAAATTTAAATTTTATTTATGTTAACAACTTCTTAATGTAAGTGCAGTTTTACATATGAAACAATTAGCCTCCTGCTGCGAAGCTGCAAATGTGTCAATTCCCCTGACATGTTCTTAATGAGATTGTGCTTTTTAGTTTTAATGTGCAGCAGCTGTAATGCCACTTCAAGGTTTTCATCTGCAAAAGCTCATTTTAGATTTGGAAGAAATTGTATTTATTATAGGAAAAACATAAGAAAACTATTACTGACCCTTGTGCTGTGTGTGAATGAAATCAGAATATTAAACCTCTTTGAGTTTTTGTCTCAAAAAACATAATAAAAACATAATTTTTTCCTCTGGTGGTAGAAGATTAAAAAACAAACCTCCCTCTTGTAATCTGGAAGATGAAGCTCTGTTTAGTAACACAGTGTCCAGATTTCATCAGCAATGAAAGCTGGAATTTTATTTTGTATTTAAAACTTTGAAATCCAGCTTGCTTTTTAAGCTTAAGCAGTATTTGAGAACATGTCTCAAAGGATGCCAGACCTTTTAGTTGTTACTGTCTGTTTAACCTTTTTGTAATTGCTTTAAAACTGTTGATTTATCGGTCATGTTATTTGGCCCAATGACAGAATATTATCTGCTGTGATTTTTTAGAATTAGTTAACCTTTACAGTTCAGTTGCTGAAGGGTTCAAATGCATTATAGGCCAGCGAAATCAACTGGTGGGTGTATGTTAGCATTTTCCAAAATATTTTAATTTCAAAATACATACTTTTAAAATGTGTCATCATCTAAGAGTCCTAAATCCAATAGTGTTTTTAAATCTTAGCGATGAAAAATGATTGTATGTTTTTCTGTTTAAGTCTGTGATATTTGGTAGGACAATAGTGTGAAGCAGTCGTCCTAATTGAAAAGCTCCTCACGTTCTGTAATTTTTCTAACCTGAGGAAATTTCAAACAGATGTATTAAGGTTAGATAATATATATCTGAGTTATCAGAAATAATTTCCTCTGTTCAAAAACGTTTTTTTCTTCAGCCATACCCAATAAAAGCAAACAAGAAAAATCAAAGATAAATTATGTAACAGCTGTTTGCTATGAGGATATGTCAGGACTCACTTCCTTCCAGTGCTGTAACAGTTTTTGGAATCTAAAGATTGTGAGTTTGGCAAATATGGTAAACACACAGGTTTATGAAGTGCTTAATTTCCAATGAAAAGCTTGCATGCGTAACAGTGCTGCTCAGAGTTTAAGAGATTGACTGAATTGCTTTATTGTCAAACGTTTTCGTATGTCTCTAAGTTGAGTGTATCAATAAAAGAAATATAAATAAAGTTAACTGCTTGGATCAGTATACTGTATTCCAAAACTGTTTGAAGTATTTGCTCAGTCATAAATTGAAATATTCAAATAGCCAATATTCAATATTTTAAAAATTCCAAAAATTCAAAAGATGCCTTGCTCGATTCTGTTTCAATTCTGTGTTGAATGGGTATTAAAATATTTAGGAAATGTTATATGTCTGTGAGTTATAATGTTTAAAAGTTTTCATTTCTGAAAATCCTGCAGTGACAGTGTTAAAATTAATAGATTGAAGTAGGAAAAATGTGTAGTAGTCATAACAACAGACCCCTTTATTTGTTGTGTCCTTCCTAGTTAAACCAGTGACCTTTTTTGTACTTTCAGCCCAAGCTTTAACAAGAATTTATTTTTGCTGTCTTTTTTTAATGTATATTTCCTGTTAAGAAAGACAGTTGGTTTATGAGGTTCCACTCATAACAGTGAACAGGGCCTGATGACCTGCTGCTAGAAAATTCATATCCAACACAGGCTACATTGTTTCTAAAAAAATATTACCAAAATGTCTGCTCACATATATCTAAAGGCTAGGTACTGTATTTGAGTTCATGGAAAATGGCTACAATTGTGGCATTTAAAAACCTGTTTTAGTGAGAAGTCATTGGTTTTATAATCAGTTTGTAATTTGGAATGTGAAGTCCTGAATCTTAATCCACCATTTAAAAATGCAGTAGCTAATCTTTGCCTTTAATTTGCATCTTATGCATAAACTAAATATTTTAAGATTCTATGAAATTGAAAAATTGTAAAAATATGGAAAATGAAAGTTTGCATGGACATATGTTGAAAATTCCTGTAGGTTATTCTGTGATCATCTACTGTTACTGGGAAAATGAGTACTTTCTAAAGATAATGTGTGTAGAAATCTAAGACAATATCTCTTATAAATATTTCTACAACATTACCAGCATTGAAGTCATAATGACTTCAAGGACTTCATAAACAGTTAAAGGGAACTATCCTGTCACCAAAGAAATACAGGTTTTCTTATTGTTTGATTTTTTTTTTATTATGGGAATTTTAATATGTTATTCAAACATCAAACACCATGCCAAAGGAATTTGGTTCCCACATTAAAAGGGGTTGATACATCAGGTGCTAAAAAAATGTAGATTTTATCACTAACCATTCTTGTAAAGAAATCCCTGGTGAATATGTTTCCCACACTCATGCACCATCATAATCACAAAGCCTGGGTTTGAAATTTTGACTGTTGTGCTAAATCACATTGGTAATGTTGAATCTGTTCAATTCCTCCTTTCAAGGATCATAATACACATTCCAATGCTGCCTGCAGATCCAATTTTGTAAATTGTATTTCTTGATCAAGT